CTTAAAATCACATACTTCATATCCAACATAACAAAAAAAATATACATATTAAATGTTTATTTATTTAAAAATATCACAAGTCAATTTATTGATTTGATATTTGGTATTTAATTATTCTTGCTCCTAATTAATCTTACCTAAGTCCTTATGGTCGGTGAAAAAAAATATAAAATAGTGTTGTTTTAGGAAATTAGCATCCAAATATATGACTTCTTTGCCATTTTCACATGGACATTAAATACTTCATATCCACACACATGAACTTTTGGTGAGAAAATGAATTATTTTTAGTATGATAATTTAGAGAGTATATAATATATATGTCACAATAAATTTATACTTTTTATTTTGGTATAAAAATATGATAATTAGATTTATACTTTTTTCGTATAAAAAAAATATGTTATATTAGAATATTCACTTGTGAGTTGTCTCACATCGTTTATATAGGAAAAATAAGTATAATTGACTACTCCTCCCACCACCAATTGATTTTGGGATGAAACATAACTTGAGCTTCATCTCGACTTTCCATGTCTTGGTGCACTTTATCTGCGTGAAACCGTACCCGTTTCCCCCGTTTCTTATATGTTAATCAATAGTCAAAATATATGAGATAGAGTTTAATTTTGATTAATACATTATTTTTTTTTTCTCATATATTTTCCAGGGACATTCCCCATTCAAAGGTGTGCTGCACGCGATTTGATTATCCTTGATTCGTAGACTGTTTGCATTGATGTTGACCCCAAATTGTGTGTAAATCATTGATTAGTCTTTGTGCCAAATCCATAATTTTGACCATAATCAAACGTTTGATAATCTTGATTAATTAGGATAGTGGCCCCACTCAAGGTGCCTTAATCTTCATATAATATATAGACCTAGTTAATCTTAATCATAGGCTTTAAGTTTAAGGTGTTCTACACCCCTCCCTATATATTAATTCAAAACGTGTTGAGTCTAGGTGGCAGATTCTTACGCTTCGAATGCTGACATGACGAAAATCTATACTTCGTGATGTTGTTTTTATATTATTTTTGCTCGGTAGTTAGGTTGGTATTAGATATAAATAACTTTACACATATATTCATTAACTCAACACTCATGTTGTACATGAGTATTAATGCTAGTTTTATTTTATATTTCTAGTGTGGTAGACATGGTGTATTTTAATTTTAATTATGTTCATTAAATAGTCTAATTGAATTTTAAAAAGTTTTTTTATCATAAAATAGTTACAGCCATTTATATATATTTTTATATAGTATTAATTAAATTAAGAATTAAGATATATAATGGTATAAATTGTATTATATAAATTTGATTATTACAGTATTTGCGCTTTGGTCACTCCATTCTAAAGCTTCGTTTAAATATACTTAATACAAATACGAAAATCTATACTTCGTGATGTTGTTTTTATATTATTTTTACTCGGTAGTTAGGTTTGGTATTAGACATAAATAACTTTACACATATATTCATTAACTCAACACTCATGTTGTACATGAGTATTAATGCTAGTTTTATTTTATATTTCTAGTGTGGTAGACATGGTGTATTTTAATTTTAATTATGTTCATTAAATAGTCTAATTGAATGTTAAAAAGTTTTTTTAATCATAAAATAGTTACAGCCATTTATATATATTTTTATATAGTATTAATTAAATTAAGAATTAAGACATATAATGGTATAAATTGTAGTATATAAATTTGATTATTACAGTATTTGCGCTTTGGTCACTCCATTCTAAAGCTTCGTTTAAATATACTTATTACAAATATGAATTATTTACTATATAGATTAATAGTTAGTTCTATTGCTATCATTTTTACTGACATAATTTGAGTATTATATTGATGTTATCAATCAAATAAGAATATATGAGTTAGAAACAAACAATAAAACTCTACAATATAAAAAATTTGGATTACTCACTATTTAGAAAATTAATGTTATATAAATTTTATCATATAGCGTTTACATGTTGTGTATAAATGTATGAAATTAATTAATACCATAAAAGTGTATGATTAACTCAGTACAGACCAATATTAATTAAAGTGGACCAAAATTATCATAGTAAAATTACCATAAAATGAATTCGATTAGCTACTCGAACTTTATAAATAAACTGAATCCGAACCGAACCGAACAGTAACGAGTTTGATTCAAATAGGTCACGCATCTCTCTCACAGTGGTCCAAAATAGTGTAATCAGCCCCAACAACCACTCTTAATTACTCAATTAACCAATCAATGACTGCAAAAATTTATTATACACCAAAAAAGTCATAATTTAATTTCTTTTCATAGACAGTTGGAAAATAATATAAGAAATCCACCCTATATATGGATTCAACAAACGCCACATATGTAATTTACTCAAGTTTCTTTATTTCTCATAAATATTGTTGGGAGTTTTGCTATTTAAAAGCACAATAATTTTATTAAAAGAAAAAAACTGTTAAAGAGCTTTCATATTGCCATAATTAATGTCATCTTGTACATGAAAAAGGAAACTAATTTATGATCACTTAGAATTTTAAACTAAATAGGGACTTAATCGTTAAACAGGGCGTAGCCAGAATTTTTTGTTCACCCTAAGCTGAAAAACATGCACATTGAATATACAGTAACTAAGTCTGTAAACGAGTTGAACCGAGCTCGAGCTCGAGATTTTAACAAATCGAGCTGAGCTCGGCTCGTTAAATAAGCAAGCCTGAAATCAAACTCGAACTCGTCTCGTTTATGATTAATAAGCCGAGTTTAAGACTTAACGAGCCGATCTCGAGTTTTAACGAGCTGAATCAAAGAAAATTATATAAAAAAAAACTTTTTTCGAGCCCTATTGAGCCAAGCCGAGCCGATCTGAGCTCAACTCGTTAAACAAACGAGTTTTAAATGAGCTCGAGCTTGGCTCGTTTATCAAATGAGTTTGAGCTCGACTCATTTATCAAACAAGTCAAGCAAAACTCGAGCCTCAACTAGTTTAGTCACACTCGTTTAATTTAGCAGCACTACCATTAACATGGGCTAAAATGTGTTTTTTTATTAGTATACATTTTGATGTACCGAAAAATTAAGACCAGACTGGAACCCATCCAACCTTTGGGATGGCTCCGCCACTATCGTTAAGCTTCCAACATGTATTATATGTGTTTTTGAACTTTGTAACTTATAATATTTCTTGTTGTCAAATGCAATCTGAAATTCATTAATATTTATTATTTGCAACATCACCGATATCTTGGACATCTTAACAAAAAACATATTCATTCTTATATATGGATATGATCATATGATTAAGCTGTAAGCAAATTATGAATGTTCATGAAGTTCAAACTGATCGCAGAAAATAATATAGGTTGTGGTAATAGAAAAAAAAAATTTGCATTACAAGTTGAAGACAATGGTTTACGGGTTGAATGAATAATTAGATATAGTTATTATTTGGTTCAAATAATGTAAAAAATGAGTTGGGTTTTATCAGAAATATAGGAGTTCTGTTTTGAGTTTGGTGACATGTTATTGTTGTGTATGGGTTCGGTTAGTGCGTAAAAATTGACTTCAAGCAAAGATTGTATGTCACATGTGAAAATAATATATATTCATTAGTTTTACCTACATAAAATTATTTAATATTTTATTTTACTTAATTCTTTAACTTAATTAAGTTGGGATTTTAATCTATTATTATGTTTTACTTTTTTCTGGCAATTTTTGGTTCCATAAGTTCCCTTATTATACAATTTTACCTAAAGGACATTTGAGTTGAATTTAGTCTAGAAGCAATTACCATGTTTCACTTATTCTAAAAAAATAAATAAATAAATAAATAAACAAATGTATTAATATTATTTCAATTAAAACTAGTTAAGTCAATTAAGTTATTATTACCACATTTTTTTTTTTCTTTTCATTCCAACTAACAATGATTTGTTCCAACTTCTGTTGAACCAACTCGAATTCGATTTTATCAAATTGAGTTCAATTCGGTTTTATCAATATTAGGTGAGTCAGAACTCAAAACTTAACGAATCGAGCCTAGTTAAGAGTTCACAAAATTATATAGACTCCTATCCTCGAACCTTACAAGACTAAATGATCTCGAGTTCGACTTGTTTACCAAGATTAATTGAGTCTTAACAAGTCGAGACAAGCTTACAAGTAACTGTTTCATTTAACAACTCTATACACGATGATGAGAAAATCTCGAATAGATTTAGAACTATTAAACGAAACAAACAAGCGACCAAACCCGAGCTCCTTTTTTTTAAAAAAATATTTTAACTAGACTACTTAAGGCTCAAGATCAATTTATTAATATTGATAAACAAAATGAACTCGAACTCGTGTCTATCGAGTGAACTCGTTAAGATTTAAATTAAATTTGAATAGTAGAAAGTCGAGCTCGACTCAACTCAACTCAACTCGTTTACCAGTCTATTCAGAAAGGCAAAGTTCAGAACTTTCAAAACTCAAAATAAAAGGGCAACAAGAAACGTATTGCGACTGGTTTTATAAGTTTGAATCAAACAAATCGCCGGTAAGAACACAGAAAACATGGTCAATTTGGGCGGCTTTCGCTTTCCTTCCCCCAAATAAGTCGCAAAAGAAAATTAATAAACCCCTCTTTACCTCTCACTTGTTCTTGCACCAAATGCTCAAAAAAACACATGGAAAAATCAAAACCCACCCAAAAAAAAGATTAAAAAAAAAATCCATTCTTTACTCTAATCACCACCTTAATTAATCTAAAATAATCTGCCCCACAACAACAAAAGCTAGTGATTAAGGCACCATTATAATATTTCAGCGGACGGAGGTGCATCTTGTTCAAAAGTTTCGGTTTTTGTCAAAATTAAAAATCAAATCTTTGCTTTGAAATTTCACTTTTTCGTGCTCCTCAAGCCGTGGGTTTTTCTCCAATCATGAAATACCTGCAGCCCTTTTAGTAAAAATCGAAGACGAGGTGCCCAGCGATTGTCGTCATGTCGGAGGACGAAGCCGACATTTTTAAGCTTCGTGTTGTTCTGCTCTGGTTCTTGATTCTAATTACAGGTAAAAATTTGTCTGTAGTTTGGCACAAAGCTAGTTGTTCTTGGATTTATTAATAATCAGTGGTTTTTTTGATTTCTTGGTAGTGTTTTGGGTAACTGAGTTGATGTTTGTTGAATTGTTTATTACATTTCCGTGTTGGGTTTTTTGGGTTTTCCGAGGATGATCCTTCACACTTAATTAACCTGCATTTGTTACAAATTTTTTGCAATCCCAAGTTGGCAAATTTCATTAACTTAGTATTGATTTTGCTGTGATTTTTCATGTGTTGGGAACAAAAATCGAAAAAAAAAGGAAAGCTTGTGATTGGGACCTCAGTTGAAACAGACAGGCAAGTTCTGCTGAGCCTGCGTTCTTTCCTCGAGCAAGAAAATCCCATTTCAGCCAATCAGGTGAGGTACATACACTGGAATGCAAACGACACGTCACCGTGCGGGTGGCCCGGGATTAGGTGCGACGGCTCATCCGAACGCGTGACGGCTGTCGACCTCTCGGGCTGTAGCATAGCCGGAAGCATCTTTTGGAACTTCTCCGCCTTAACCGAGCTCTCGTACCTCGACCTGTCTCAGAACACGATAGGTGGGGCACTCACGGAGGATTTGGGCCGATGCCTCAATCTGAGGTTCTTGAATTTATCGCATAACATCATGAGCGGCGAACTGAATCTCACGGGGCTAAGGCACTTGGAAGTTCTTGATTTGTCCGTTAATCGAATACAGGCCGATATCCGGCTAGCTGTGCCTTTTGATTGCAGCCGTTTAGTGGCTGCGAATTTTTCGGATAATAATTTCACGGGTTCGGTCGGGAGCATATTCGAGACGTGTCGGAATTTGAGGTACCTTGACCTCAGCGCGAACCGTTTGACCGGAAACTTATGGCCCGGGCTCGATAAATTGGTGGAGGTTTCGTTATCTGAGAACAATTTTTTCGGTTTGGTGCTTGGGTGGATTTTCTCTCGGAATTGCAGCTTAAGGTCACTGGATTTGTCTGAAAATCAGTTTTCGGGTCGTTTTCCAGCCGAAATTTCTAACTGTGTGAATCTGAATGTGTTGAACTTAGGTGGGAACGGGTTTATCGGGTCCATTCCTAGAGAAATCGGGTATTTGCCCGATTTAGAAGCGCTTTACTTGGGCAACAACAGTTTCTCTCGAGAAATCCCCGAGACTCTATTAGGCCTCGGAAAGTTATTGTTTCTTGATTTGAGTAGAAACCGATTTGGAGGAGACGTGCAGCCGATTTTTGGGTTGTTTAAAACGGTGAAGTTCCTTTTATTGCACCACAATTCGTACTCGGGTGGTCTGTACATGTCCGGAATTCTCACTCTCCCGAACGTGTCTCGTCTCGACTTGAGCTTCAACAACTTCACGGGCCCACTTCCCGTCGAGTTTTCTCAAATGCCGAGCCTAAAATTCTTGATTCTCTCATCCAATCGTTTTAACGGGACCATACCTTCCGAATACGGAAGCTTCAGGAAAATCCAGGCCCTCGACCTCTCTTTCAATACCCTGACGGGCACGATTCCCCCGACCCTCGGAAATCTAAAATCTCTCTTGTGGCTGATGCTCGCGAATAACTCGCTCACGGGCGAAATCCCGTATGAATTGGGAAACTGCAGCAGCTTGCTTTGGTTGAACCTCGCGAACAATGGGCTCTCGGGCCCGATCCCCCGCCAGCTGACGAGGATCGGTTCAGACCCAATGCCGACTTTTATGGCCAACCGGGAGAACGACGTGATGCCAGCTGGCTCGGGCGAGTGTCTGGCGATGAAAAGATGGATACCGGCTGATTACCCACCGTTTAGCTTCGTTTACATTCTTCTCACCCGAAAAAAATGCCGGAGTTTGTGGGACAGGATTCTGAAAGGATACGGTATTTTCTCGATTTGTTTGCCGGGCTCGAACGTTCGGACGAATCAGCTCTCGGGATACGTCCAGCTCAGCGGGAATCGTTTGTCAGGTGAAATCCCGGTCGAGTTAGGCAAGATGTTGAATTTCAGCATGCTGCATTTGGGTTTGAATTCATTTCACGGCGAGCTTCCTTCGGAAATCGGACAGCTTCCTCTTGTTGTCCTAAACGTCTCGAGTAACGTGCTGTCGGGCGATATCCCGATTCAGATCAGTAACCTCAAGTGCCTTCAGAATCTCGATTTGTCGTATAACAATTTTTCGGGCCCGTTTCCAAACAGCTTGAACAACTTGAACGAACTCATCAAGTTCAACGTCTCGTACAATCCTTACATATCGGGAGCCATACCCTCGACCGGCCAGCTGGCGACTTTCGAGAAGTCGTCATTTCTTGGGAACCCACTTTTGCGGCTTCCCCCGTTTTTTACTGAGCCCACGACAACAAACCATACGCCGTTTCAAACCAATGTCGGGCCGGATAATACAAGCCCGAGGCACGTTGGCCCGTTTCTATTCGTTGTAGCCTCGATCCTCGCTTTCTTGGTTTGTGGGGTACTAACTCTCATCGTTTGGCTAATCGTGAAAAGCCCGAAGGGCGGCCCCGTTGGATACATTGTCGAAGATTCGAAGGATTTCGGTTCGTGCTCGACCGAGTCTTCCCCTTGGTGCTCGAACATGATCAAAGTCATCCGTCTCGACAAGAAAACGGCCTTCACGCACTCGGACATTCTCAAAGCCACGGGCAACTTTTCGAACGAGAGGATAATCGGAATGGGCGGCTCGGGGACCGTGTACAGGGGAACCCTACCCGACGGGCGCCAGGTGGCGGTCAAGAAGCTCCAATCGGAAGGTCTCGAAGGGGAGCGCGAGTTTCGGGCGGAGATGGAAGTCCTTAGCGGGCACGGGCCCCACCCGAACCTCGTCACGCTGTACGGGTGGTGCCTCAACGGGCCCGAGAAGTTGCTCGTTTACGAGTACATGGAAGGGGGAAGCCTCGAGGAGCTTGTCCCGAACTGGGCCCGACTCGACTCGACTAGGCGTTTGGGAATCTCGATCGACGTGGCCCGAGCGCTCGTTTTCTTGCACCATGAGTGCTTCCCGAGCATCGTGCACCGTGACGTGAAGGCGAGCAACGTGCTGCTCGACAGAAACGGGCGAGCCCGGGTCACGGATTTTGGGCTGGCCCGTGTGGTGGATGACGGGGGCAGCCACGTCAGCACGATGGTGGCGGGGACGGTGGGTTACGTGGCGCCCGAGTACGGGCAGACGTGGCGAGCCACGACTAAAGGGGACGTTTATAGCTTCGGCGTGCTGGCGATGGAGCTGGCCACGGGGAGGCGGGCCGTGGACGGTGGGGAAGAAGAGGAGTGTTTGGTCGAGTGGGCCAAACGGGTTAACGTTGTTGATGGGCTGCCGGTGGGCCTGGTGGTTTCGGGCCTGGAGGATGGGGTTGAGATGATGAGTGGGCTGCTTCGGGTCGGGATGTGGTGTACGGCCGAGAAACCGAATTCGCGGCCCAATATGAAGGAGGTTTTGGCCCTGCTGTATAGGATCTGTTTTGGTACTGCTGCTGCTGATGATAATGGCCCTTTGGCTTGATTGATTAGTATGATATGTGAAGGTTTTTGTTTTGTGTGTTTAGTGAGTTTATACATAAAATGTTTCTGGTAGTGCATGCACATGTTTTTTGGGTATACAAGGATTCTTTTTTGTAAGTACACACAGAAAAGTATCAGATTTTTAGGGGAAATTGAAGGAAAGGTGAATAATCAGTTGTTTGATAGAATTCATGATCAGTTTTGTGTATCTTGTTAGAAGGAACTGATGATTCCTTAGTTATGCTGTTTTGGAGAGGAAGTTCTGCTGAATCTTGCATGTATATCAATGTAGTAGTAAATTTGTAGTGTTTTACTTGCTTATTTTTTAAAAATGTTTTCTCACTCTATAAACTTAATTTCCCAAATCCTCTTTTTCGCACGCGACCTCGACTCTCTCTTCCGGCGTACCAGCGGCTGCTCGCCTCCATCTAGTGGGTGCCAAGGCCCG